ATTATGAGAGATTTCTGTGCTAAGAAATATAAAAAATGTTTTGGCCAGAAATTAGCTACCCTGCCCCATCTCTCTAAATTTGAAAATCTCTAAATTTCAAACTTTGAATTCTCTCCATTTGAACTTTGTATTATGTTTGTGTTTGTAATTTAAGCCCAGGAAAAGGATGTCAAATTTTCACAAATAGGATGTGGAGGGGTGGGGAAGTTTGCCGCTTCTCCTGGAGAGCAGGGCAAGAGGCTGATTCCCTTTGCAGATTTTACCAAAATGTTCCACACAAAGCTATTGCTAGCATTTTAAGTCTAGTGCATATGACCCTTATGAGTTTCATCAGTGCACAGTTCCTGGATGCCATAGAAACATTCTACAGTTTTTTTTATTTACAGCTTTTTGAATTAAATAATATGTGCAAATGATGTATTACTCAAAGTACAAAAGAACAAATCATGACATGAACATGTCCTTCTTTGTCTCCTACCTCCTTGCTAGCCCATTTTCCTTCCTAAAGGCACCCATTGGCATGTTTCTTATGAATCCTGGCAAGCTATTCTATGAATATCTATATTGGAAATCCAAGACTCCAAAATCCAAATGTGTTTCATGTAAACAGCTACTTCAAAGTCAAGTACAAAAAAAGCCTTTTAAAAACTCCATCCTTACTCAGAAGAGTAGATTATATTTTCTAATTACTTTCAAGAAAGATCGTAAGAAAAGAAAAGAAGCAAAAAGAGATAGATTGGAATCATGAAAGAGTGCTGATAGGGGCTAAGGTGACCAGGCTTTGCCTCTGACTAGCAGATATGAGTCTAGCTCCCCGACCAGAAAACCACAGGTCTCTCCAGGTGACGTCCAAGGTTCCTTCCAAGGAAAGGGCCTCAATTCTGCTCAAGAAGAGATCACATCTTTTTTCTCAAGTCAAAGGCCAGCATAGGTACCTGTTGCATCTGCAGTATTGTACAATGAAATTGCTGCTCCAAATGGCCAACTCTGAGACTCTAATAGTCAGGGCAGTTTTATGACTCATTATATCTCAGTATATCTGTTTGAAAATTAGCGAACTTCCTATGAAATATAAACAGAGTAACTTAAATCAGAATAACATCATTTCTGTCATTTCCCAAATATTCTTGACTAATAATATATACATTATGCAAAAAACCATGAAGAATATATTACTGTACTGGTAGATAGGTTCATCAGTGCAATTGAGCTTTAATGTGTTGTTGCCTCATCAGTGCTTGTTGTGTATCAATTCTTAACATCACATAAATCTAACAGTAAAGTTATGGGTCCTAAAGCAAACATGCAGGCTCGAGTAGGAGTGACTATTGCAAAATCACTTTTAAATTACAGATCTTCAGGTTAACTCCCTGGAAGATTTGTTCATCAGATCTTGGGTGAAGTTTGAGAAAGGCTCTCTTCCTTAGCTCTTAAATACATCGTTCTCCAAGCTGACTGTATACTGGGATCTCCTGGAGAGCTTTAAAAAGTGTCGTTTAATCCCATTACTGGGTATATACCCAAAGGAATATAAACCATTCTACTATAAAGACACATGCTTACATATGTTCATTGCAGCACTACTCACAGTAGGAAGGACATGAAATCAACTAAATGTCCACGTATGGTAAACTGGATAAAGAAAATGTGGCACATATGGAATGTGGCGCCATGGAATACTACACAGCCATAAAAAAGGATGAGATCATGTCCTTTGCAAGAACACAGATAGAGCTGGAGGCCATCATCCTTTGTGAGCTAATGCAGGAACAGAAAGCCAAATACTGCATGTTCTCACTTATAAGTGGAAGTTAAATGATGAGAACACGTGGACACAAAGTGGGGAACAAGACACTGAGGACTATTTGAGGTTGGATGGTGGTGGGGGGAAGAGGATCAGAAAAAATAACTGTTAGATACTAGGCTTAGTATAATATTTGGATGAAAAAATAATTTGTACAATAAAACTAGGTGGCATGAGTTTACATACATATATATGTATATATATATAAACAACCTTCACATGGACCACTGAACCTAAAGTAAAAGTTTTTTTTTTTTAAAAAAAAAGGTCTCCCAGGGCTGGGCACAGTGGCTCATGCCTATAATCCTAGCATTTTGGGAGGGCGAGGCAGGCAGATCACTGAGGTCAGGAGTTCGAGACTAGCCTGGCCAACATGGCAAAACCCTCTCTACTAAAAAGTACAAAAATTAGCCAGGCATAGTGGTGAACACCTGTAATCCCAGCTTCTTGGGAGGGTGAGGCAGGAGAACTGCTTGAACTGGGAGGTGGAAGTTGCAGTGAGCCGAGATTATACCATTGCACTCCAACCTGGGTGACGAGTGAAACTGTCTCAAAAAAAAAAAAAAAAACTCCCCTCAAAATAAAAATACTGTTAAAATTTAATATTAAAAAAAGTGCTGCTGTCTGAGTCCTATCTCCTGTGATTCTGACATTGTTGATCTGGTGTATGGCCTGGGCATTGGGTTTCTCAAAGTTTTCCCACTAATTTCAACGTGCAATTAGTATTAAGACCCACTACTGTAGAATTTGCCCAGGATTGTCTGGTTCTGGAACTCTCTTTGGATCATCAGAATTTGTTTACTTTTCTCACATGGAAGTGGTATAATATTATCCCATATTAGTGCAACCTTTTGCATGAAACTGAGGCATAATTGGCCTGTTTCAGGATACCCAGTGTGATGTGACCACCAGGAGCACCACAACACCCAGGAGCTCCTTGGAAATGCAGGCTCAGCCCAGTCCCACAGAAGAATTAAAACAGAATCTGCCTTTAAGTTACCCAGGTGTTTCATTTGCATATTCAAATTTAGGGAGCACAATATAGTGGCCTCAAATTCTGCATTTCTAACAGAATGCTTCTTAGTATGATGGATACTGCCAGTCCTCATCCACAGTGGCAAGGATTTAAAGCACTTTCTCTAACTGTGGGGAACTCATTCTGGAATTCCCCACCAACCTGAATTGAATTCTCTCCAAAACTGCCTTTTTAATTGACTGCTCATTCCCAGGTGATTCTTATTTACATGAAAGTTTGACAACCACTGATGCAGGCCCAACTTTTTACCAGAGCAGGAATCATTCTCTTATTTGAAAAGCAGCTCAGTCTAATTGCACTTAGACTACATCAGCCTAGAGGAAAGCATATTACCCTCTAGAGAAAAATACATCATCTCTTCCTTAGCCCTTCAAATAACTGAAGCTAATCTTTCTCCTGCTGCCTGGTCAGGCTTAGATTTGCTGACAGTTGCTACTGATTCTGTTTCCTACTCATCTTGGTATCCCCCTATGTCCCCACCCCCACACCGGAAACCTTCCGCTTCAGCCATACTCCTCAAAGTAAGACAGCCCAAAACTAGAGGAAAGCTCTACACTGTGCAACACAGAACACAAGTGACAGTATACAAATGACACTGCCATCGGCTCTGATCAGAACTTTTTATTTTTTAATATTGCAGGTGGAGGCTGCATTCTTTTTAGAAAAGCTGTGTATCGTGTTAGTTCAATATTAAGCTTTCATTTAACCACATCACCTATGTTCCTTCCCCATGGGAACTAACATGATACACAGCTTTTCTAAAAATGCAGCCTCCACCTGCATTATTAAAAAATAAACTGTTCTGATCAGAGCCGATGACAGTGTCATTTGTATAGTGTCACTTGTGTTCTGTGTTGCACAGTTTAGAGCTTTCCTCTAGTTTTGGGCTGTCTTACTTTGAGGAGTATGGCTGAAGCGGAAGGTTTCCGGTGTGGGGGTGGGGACATAGGGGGATCCAACAGATGTCACCTCATTCCAATACTTTCACAAGTACTGACTGAACTTGCATGTAGGGCTTTATTTATAACCCAAATAAATTTCATCACTGTGATCTCTGCCCACTATTTCAGCCAACAAGGAATTTCTGGTCACTGGTCCTGAATACATGGAACCATCAGTCTTGGATTCGGATGATCAGAAGACCTGGATTCAAGTTTGATCTCTATAACTTTGCAATAGACCTTAGGCAAGTTCTTTAGCCTTTTTTTAAAATCTATAAAACGGACACAATAATAGTACCTACCTTACAGTTGTGAGGATTCAATAAGGTACTATAAAAATCACTTTGTAAAGCATAAAGCTGTGTAAATATAAGTTATTAATGAAAGCATCGCAAGGAACAAGGTATAAATAATCCACAAACTTAACCATAGCATCAGTTTGTTCATTCTCCGTGTTTTCGACCCCCATATGAAATTAGTGGCAGTTCTAAAATCCTCTGAAATGCAAACTCTGTCTCCTCCACTACCATCTGCGATCCATTCTAGCTAGTCTGCTTTCCTTTGTGACAGAGTTCCTGTTTTTTATTGACAAAAGGAGGGGAAACCTCGTGTTAAGAACCAGTGTAATTAAATACCAGGAGAGTTCTCCAGAAACCAACCATGTGGAAGTGGATGAAGACAGAAAAACCCTTTAATGTCGCTGATGTGGGTGTCCAAATGTTCAGACAGGGTGTCCACTTCCAGTTTCTCACTGAAAGAGGAACTTAAAATTGCTAAGGTTCTGGTCATTGGAATTCTGTAGAGCCACAGTTCCCAAGCAAAGGGAGACATGCAATGAATATATGATATGTGATATGATACAATATATTCTACCAACATGAGATCTCACTCTGCCTCAACACCATGAGAGTGCTCTGAACTTATTCAGGAATGATGTATCTACCCATTTCCTAAAATAAGGACAATCTCAAAAACAGATTTCTCAAATTTAACCCAAAAGACCAGGAAATGCTTGGTAGTTTTCACTAAAGTCCTTCTCTATGAACCTCCAGGTACCTTTCCAAATACAAACCTTTGCTAATTTCCATGATTTACAGATTAGAATGGCTGAGGTTTTTAGAACACACATGCTTTTGCAAGAGCCTAATCAAAGAGTCACAACTAGAGAACATGTACAAAGTAAGAAATTTAATGATTAAATACACTCAGACTACTTCAGTAACAAACACCTAATGTTTATTAATAAATTAGTACACTTGAAGGCATTTTTCTGATATCAGTCCTTCACCACTACCCACAAACCCCGCCCACACAAAGGGAGTCCACGCTACCTTTGCACTGGAATCTGGCAACTGAGCATTAGAAGATACATTTGGAAACATGAGGATAGTTGCAAATATATCAGACAATGGTTCTTACAGTTGCAGCCATTTTTAATTAAAGTAATTGGTGAAGGAATCCCACCAAGACCAAGGCTTTGAGAGCAGATTGGACCTATTGACTATATGTATATAAAAAACAAGACATCTTTTAAAGCAAAGCTGGGCAAATTCTCTATGGAAAGGGTGCCATTGGCACTTGATCTTGACTTTCCAAAGTGCAGCAATGTGTTCCAGAACAGCTCAAGTCCTAAAAGTGAAGTTCAAGTTCTTTGGTGGCCCAGTTGTGAAGCCACTTAAATTGCAAATCCTGATGGCTTGAGGATTTCAGTTCTCCAGCCCAGAGCGTATTAGCATTAAGAGAAGTACAAGTAATCAAGCATTCTACACGGTGTCCAGGTGAAAACCATACAATCAGCAACAGTGTGGTCAAGTTTCAGACATGAATATGAACTATACGAGACATACTGAAAAGATAACTCAGAGTCTAATTGCATTACATTAACTCAACGGGGTCTTAAATTTTCTTAATCTTTTAAGAAAATTTATAAAGGACAAACAATAATAAAAATAGTAATAATATTTGTTTTTAAAAAGTGGGTGTGAATGTTAAGAGACATAAAGACTGCTTATAGGATTCACAAGATGCCATTATACTTTTAAGAAGTTAAGAGCCTCACAATCCAGTGTGTGGGAAAAGTCACACTGCATTTATGGTAAGTTAAGTAAATTTAAAGTGCACAGAACAATCTTGAAAATACATAAGAAGGCAAAATGGAGAAAATATGGAACTTAAAAAACTTTAGTGGTGGGTATTTCACAAGTTACACCTTGAAAAGACTTATAAACCAACTTCCCAGAAGAGTTATTTTAAAAAAAAGAGAGAAAGAAAGAACTCAAGCACTGGCCATATATTCTGTTAAACACACACACACACACACACACACACACACACACACGCCCCAAATGACAAAAATTAGAAACAGAAGAAAATTTAAAAAAAAAAAAAACACCCTGCCACTAAATTGAGTAATTTTCAGAATGCAGTATCCCTATGTTCTACAGTAGGTCAGGAAGATGGCTATAAACAGAGTCCAGGAGGGTCTGGCTGGCTTCCTGGCTCTTGACTCCAATAATTTCGAATAGCCGGTCCAGTTTGTCCTCAGCCTGGGGAATCTCTTCAATCACCCGCAGCTCCTCAGGATTTAGAATGTGGAGCATGTCATCAAAGATAGGCTGCAAGTCACAGGGGTCCAGGCGTACCTGCCGCAACACTGTGTCCTTCTTTTCTGCACAGAAGAGAGGGAAGCAAAGACAGCTGTAAAGTGGCTATACTGGCAAGGCCTAGGGAAAGGAGAAGGGGGTCCTAGAGAGAGATATTTGTTTCCTCCTCAGGCTATTATTCTCCATCTTCCATTACAGTGAGAGAGTGAGTGACCCTCTGGCACATTCAAAACAAGAGTTTTTACTTGCGTTGCACTGTAAGATAGAAAACAAGAGTTGCCCGATAGAGATCAGACAAGGTCCTGCTTGAATGGCTGTTGATGTATCATTAATGTGACATTTGCCTAGACTTAAATACCTTCTAAACTCTTTTAGAATTCAAAAGGTGAATGGTGAGTTAAAGAAACCAAAGAAACAAAAATAAAAAACTAGAAAACCTTTACTGCTTTCCCTATCTGTAATGTCTTTACTAAACCAAAATATACATAGGCCCATTCCTTTTCCAAATGATCAAAAATTCTAAGACAATGTCGTCTACTTATCTGACTTTCTGATTACATTATAATATTTTAGAACAAAACTGTTGAGAAAGTAAAAGCACATAAATAAGAAAAGACTACTTCTTTATTTTTTTGAAATGGAATCTCACTCTGTCACCCAGGCTGGAGTACAGTGGTGTGATCTCAGCTCACCACAACCTCTGCCTCCTGGACTCAAGTGATTCTCCTCCCTCAGTATCCTGAGTGGCTGGGATTACAGGCGCCTGCCACAACACCCAGCAATTTTTTTTGTATTTTTAGTAGAGATGAGGTTTCACCATGTTGGCCAGGCTGGTCTTGAACTCTTAACCTCAGGTGATCGACTCGCCTTGGCCTCCCAAAGTGCTGGGATTACAGGTGTGAGTCACTGCGTCCAGCCTAGAAAATATTACTTCTTCTCAGGTCATACCTTACAATGGGATGAGGAACTATAACTTTTATTACTATTATAAAGCACTTTTTCTAAAATATAATATATAACATAAAATATAAACTAAAATATATTTTATGTAAATGTAAAATTGATTAATATAAAGTATATAAATTATAAATATATAAATATAACATTTTATAAATACATAAAATATAAAATATAACCCTTTCACTAAAATATAACTGGAATTACCCAAAACTAGAAAATGTCTTTCAAAACTGTCACAAATAGCATAGGCAAATTCCCTACCCTGAAATTCAAAATTAAAAGTTGCGAACTCTTTGCCAAAACTACCAATCCAATAATGTTTAAAATATTGGTATTTGCAATGTACTTTAACAAAGCGAATTTTAGGATATTTTGAAGTCACTAAAACCCATACTTTTCTTTGTTTTCAGACAAAGTTTTGCTCTTGTCACCCACTCTGGAGGGCAGTGGCATGATCTCGGCTCACTGCAACCTCTGCCTCTTGGGTTCAAGAGATTCTTCTGCCTCAGCCTCTGAGTAGCTGGATCTACAGCCAGCTAAATTTTCTTTTTTTTTAAATAGAGATTAGGTTTCACCATGTTGGCCAGGCTGATCTCTAACTGCTGGCCTCAAGAGACCCATCAACCTCAGCCTCCCAAAGTGCTAGGATTACAGACATGAGCCACCACACCCCCCTAGAACCACTTTATCAGTGATGCTCATGCTTGGACATCATGCCTACCATCTGATTAAGGTGCCAACCAGAGCCTGGACTTATGATGAGGCAAATGAGGCACTCTCCTCTGGTGTAAAATTTAAGGTGGCACCAAAAAAACTCAGTCTTCAAGTTATATTTCAATGAAAGAGGTTTGTTGTTTGTTTGAGGTTTTTGTTTGTTTATTTGTTTTTGAGACAGGACCTTGCTCTGTTACCCAGGTAACACAATGGCTCAAACTCCTGGGCTCAACGGATCCTCTGGCCTTAGCCTCTTGAGCAGCTGGGACTACAGGTGCAGGCCACTATGTTTGATTAATTATTAATTTTTTGTAGAGACCATGTCTTGCTTTGTTGCCTTGGCTGGTCTCAAATTCCTGGTCCCAAGTGATCTGCCACCACCGCCTAAAACCTGTACTTATGACTCTCAAGATAAGTTCAACTTTAAATCTTTGGATACAGCAAGCTTGGTAAAAACTTTTCAGAAAAACTTGCCAGACTACATTTTATCAGGCCTTCCCTGAAACACATTTGATAGCATCATGAGGATAAAGGATGGCCGATAGCTCTCGGCCAGGCAGTGTGAGCTATAAAGATTTAGGAGGCGTGTCTTAGCCAGCCAATGGTGAGGTTTTGCTTGGGCCAGCTTATCTCGAAGTTTAGGACTGATCTATACAGGCAGGTAATTCAGATGACTCAACTGTAACTGGACTGTGGACCGGGAGGGGCAAATCCCAGGGGCTCTTTGTGGGGGTTAAAGTGCCTGTGTGAGATCTGTTGAGATGCCTGTACCTTTGGTAATAAAGGAACCGTTCCTGCTCAGCGCGGAGGAGCCACTGGATGTAGAGTCACAGCGGAGAAGGGGCTCCGACTCATCCACGAAGAAGCCCTTGTTCTTGTCCAGTGGGGAAGGCTCCACCGTCAGGAGAGTGGAATTCTCAAGTTTTGCATTGGGGCTGGGGATGGGGCTGGGGCTAAGTGGGCTAGGACTCATCGGGAGAGCCAGTTTGTCAGTTTCCAGCTGTCCGAGAGAAAAAAAAAATTATTATATATAGAAAAAAACAGAAAAATTAAAATCCCTCCTCAGAGGCTATTTTTTGTGTTCCATTTAATATTTTACACATAAATCCTCCTATGTGAGTTGACCATAACTTATTTATATGATTGGTAGACACACACATAGATGTTTAAATCCTTCAAAAATACAGTGAGGATATGTATGAGTATTAAAACTAGGAGGCATATGCACCACACTATTATCTCAGGGGAGGAAAAGTGAACATATATGTAAAGAGAAAGATCCCCAATTTAAAACATAATTTTTTGGAGCTGAAAGGAGTCTTAGATATAATTTAGTATAGTTCTCTGTTATGAGCTGAATGAATTGTGCCCCTCCAGTTGAAGCCTTGACCCCCAATACCTCAGAATGTGACTACTGGGAGAGAGGGCCTTTAAAGAGGTAATTATGGTAAAATGAGGTCATTAGGATTGGGTCCACTCCCATATAACTGGTCTCTTTAATAAAAAGAAGAGATGAGGATACAGACACACACAGAGGGAAGACACAGTGAAGACACAGGTGAGAAGACAGCCATCTACAAGCCAAGAGAGAGCCCTCAGAAGACACCTTGATCTTGACCTTCTAAGGCTCCCAAATTGTGAGATGATCAATTTCTGTTGTTAAGCCACATAGTGTCTGTGGTCATTTGTTACTGCAGCACTCACTGACTCATACACTCAGCTTCCAGGGGAAGGAAAACTGGGGCCTGGAGAAGTGAAATGACTTTCTTAACTAAGGGCCAACAGGGAAGTCACAGAACTAAAAGTAAACTCCAGGTTTTCTACTCCCATTTCGAACTGGCTCAGGAGAAAACCTGCTAAAATTAAGAATGAGAACAGGAGAAAATGAGAGGTATCAGTGGCTGGAAGAAGACAGTCATGACTCAAAGGACAGAACAGAGACTGTGAAGCTTGTATTCTGGAGTAGGGAGGTCAGAGAATAACAAACAAGATGGTTTCAGATAAAGATGGTGAGCTTCACCACCACTTTGGCTGGTGGGTAGAGCATGCATTTTAGGGAGGCAAGAATCAAAGTTGAAAAAGCAGTTAGGATGCTCCTACAGTGGCCACATACAGTGTGACTATGGCTTGTCCTGGGGGTGTGCAGTGGAAATAGGGAGAAGTGACAGGTGATGTGACCCTACTTTATAAGTGAAGTGACTGGGGCCCAAAGAGGGCACACAGCTACTGGGAGAAAGCCAGTGCTCAACTCAGTCCTGCTTGACATCTATATTCGCCCCTTTCCTTTGAGAAAATACATCAGAACCCTGGCAGGCACTCATGGCCTCTCCTAGTACTTGATTTTATCTTTTTATTGGCTCTTCCGGCAAGGATAACAAAATCTGGGAGCCAGTTGGCCAGATCACACAGAACAGGGTTTGGGGAATGATGGGCACTCTCCCCAAGCTGTTAATCACCACTCCTTAGAATCTTCATCCCTTCACTAACACACTTCAGGTAAAATGTTTTCAAGCTCTTCGACGAAGATATTGACATTTCAAAGTATTACACCGAATAGTTATATAAAGCACAAAGCAAACACAAGTGCTTCTTTTACAAATTTTGAGGCCTGAGAAATTCTTGCAACTGATTGCAGATTGTGACGACAACTGATTACTGCACGTCTGATGTTCCAACAGCATTTTTCCTCTAAACCACCAATCACACCGTTTCTGCTTCTAGCGCAAGTTTCAGACTTGGGAAACATGTGTACCTAGCAGTCCCTTTCTGATCTACAGACAAATGTTATGTATATGCTTGTAAAATTTTAATTCCACAGGCCCTGGCACATGCCCCTCCTCCTGGAAAATGCAGATGGCCATTCAGGCCAACACACTTTTTAAAATTCACTCAATTAGACAAAGAACACTTGTCTACATTCTGGCTCTCGCGGACATTACATTGGAATACATGGTCAGTCAATATCGTACACTGTTCTTGCTTAAAAAGGAAATTCCCCCCCAAAAGTCACAAACTAAAAATCCACCCACTTATTTCCTAAATTCATTTGAAAATTTTAAATGTTTAATTTCCCCCCCAATTTCACCAAAAGGTCCTACTAGTAAAAATTAAGCACATGATTTCCAACATAATTGGAAAGACAGAATGTTGAACTGTTGCTCTCCTGTAATTAACAGTGAGTCAGGTGAATATGAAAATACCCCTGCAAATGGTATTAGTGTCACAACAGAGCTAACAAGAATCACTAAAGCCATAGGCCATTTAAAAACCATCTTTCTAGAAAATCTACTCAGTTACTAAGTATATGTCTCTCTCACTTTGTGCAACAGCAGCTGGTTGCATTCCTACTGCATCTAAAGTTATTTTCATTTTTTCCCAAAAGAAAAACAATGATCATAGAAACTTCTTTCCTTGATTTACTGCAATATATACAACAACCATCAAAGCTGGTTTGCCATACTGCAACTATACTAGGCACTGTGTTATTTCTGCTTTCTAATCAGAACATTGAGTCATCAGAATATGTGGAATAAATTAATTCCTTGTGTTATTAATTCTGAAAGCTCATCGTTCAGTATTCTGAGTTTACAGCCAATGAAAAACACCTACAGTAAGATTTAGATACCAAACAGAAGAAAAATACTCTTGGCCAGGCACGGTGGCTCACACCTGTAATCCCAGCACTTTCAGAGGCCAAGGTGGGCTGATCATGAGGTCAAGAGATCAAGGCCATCCTGGCCAACATGGTAAAACCCCGTCTCTACTAAAAAATACAAAAATTAGCTGGGCATGGTGGTGCGTGCCTGTAGTCCCAGCTACTCAGGAGGCTAAGGCAGGAGAATCGCTTGAACCTGGGAGGAGGAGGTTGCAGTGAGGAGAGATCGTGCCACTTCACTCCAGCCTGGTGCCTGGAGACAGAGAGAGACTCTGTCTCAAAAAAAAAAAAAAAAAAGAAAGAAAGAAAGAAAAATACTCTTAACGAGAAAACCAGATTTCCAGAAAAGAGGCTCCTTTTACAAAAACTTTAAGCATAAACTTACCAAGACATTCATAAAATAAAATAATTTATTTCCTAAGCTTTCTTGAACTTTCCAAATTCTCTATAAAGATATATTAGGCTGGCCATGGTGACTCACACCTATAATCCTAGCACTTTTGGAGGCCCAGGTGGGTGGCTCCCTTGAGTTCAGGAGTTCGAGACCAGCCTGGACAACATGGTGAAACCCTGTCAACACTAAAAATACAAAAATGAGCGCAGCTTGATGGCGGGTGCCTGTAGTCCCAGTTACTTGGGTGTCCAAGGCAGAAGAATTACTTGAACCCAGGAGGCGGAGGTTGCAGTGAGCCGAGATCACGCCACTGCACTCCAGCCTGGGCGACAGAGCAAGACTTTGCCTCAAAAAAAAAATATATATATATATTAATGTTTACAGCTAGAAAACCAATAAATGTTGTTTTTAAAAACAGTCACCACTGATAAGTATATTTTCCTTCTGCTACCTTGAAAATGTTGTGGCTGCAGCAGCTCTTATTTATATAGTTATCCAAGAAACAGGGTAGTGGGAAGATTATCGCTGTGGCTGAGCTCCTCTCTATACTTTTGTTAAATGTTCATGGACATGGCATTCATATGTGTCCCAACTTATTGCAATGAGGCAGATACTAAGAAAACGTGGCCTGTAAAGGCAATGTATCTGTCATTTATTTGAAATTCCTTTGGAGAAACTTGAAAACTACAGCTCTTTTTGCTTTATAGCCATGATGTAATCCTGCTAACTTGGAATACTCACATGAGAAATGAGGTAGGGACAGTAAATAGACCCAAATGGCAGCGGGCATGGACAGCTCCCAAAGCAGCCCAAAAGGGAACAATTCTATTGTGTGAACTTTGAGAGCATACCATTTCTTTTGGCCAAACAAGTCCCAAATGTCCTACTGATTAGTTTCCATGCAAGCACACTTAGTCCTTCCAGATACTTAGCAGTCCAAACTGATAAGCGAAGAAAGATAAATGGTTCACCTTACTCAAGGGTGGGGTCACATCTAAAGCTCTGCTGCTGACCTAACAATTTTCCTAAGCACCTCTACCACTGAGTACAAGGAACCATGCAAACAGATTAGGTAAACAGACTACTGCTTGAAATTTGGGGACCTGAACATCTCTGGGCTACTGAGTTTGGTAGCAGTGTTTATGAGAATAATGATTTAATTTGCATCTGGATTGTACTGCAATAAGCCATAACTGTCAACATCACCCTTCCTTATTTCCAGCTGTGTCTTTGTCAATCCTACATTCCCACAGCAACCAGACTTCTAAAACTGAAGTACCCACTCTGTCTGCTCAACCAAATCAAAATTGGAAACTGAGGCCAGGCTTACAGTGGCTTACACTTGTAATCCCAACACTTTGGGAGGCCGAATGGGTGGGTCACTGTAGGTCAGGAGTTAAAGACCAGCATGGCCAACATAGCAAAATCTCATCTCTACTAAAAATACAAAAATTAGCTGGGTGTGGTGGCACATGCCTGTAATCCCAGCTACTTAGGAGGCTAGGGCAGGAGGATCTCTTGAACCCAGGAGGTGAAGGTTGCAGTGAGGCAAGACCATACCACTGCATTCCAGCTTGGGCTACAGAGCAAGACTCCACCTTAAAAAAAAAAAAAAAAAAAAAAAAAATGGAAACTGAAGCTCAAAAACAATTCTCCACTTCTATTATCAAACTGAAAAATCACTTCCCTGTTGACTGGCCTTCCCTTCCTGTTGAAGGTTGCAGTATTCCCCTATCCCCTGGGGATGGCAGAGCCATCACAGTGAAGGAGAATCCTTCCAAGCTTTATTCCTGGCAAAGGTGGTATATAAATGAAATAAGATTTTGAGGCAGCAAGATCTGGCAGCATTCCGGAGTAGACTCTGAGAGCAGGAATGGGTGAAAACTCCAGCCTCAGCTGCCATCTGTGTGGTAAGCACTTCATGTTCCTCATAGTCAACTCCTAAAAATCA